AGAATGTACATTCTTTCAACAAAACCTTTCCAATTGCTTTCCATTACTTCAGGGCCATCTTCTCCAGACAGAATCTGCCTGCCTACCTGCCTGCCTTTATCGTGACCTAGCAAGAAGACATTCTTGCTAGGCCATGGCACAGCCCCGTCTGCCTGGAACAGTATGGCCCCAAGATTCTATGTGTCCCTACCTTCATGTCCTTTACGTATTTAAGTTTTATTTATTTATTTATGATTAATTGCTTTTATTCTATTTTTATCCATGTTTTAGTTTTACATATTTTAAGCCACCTAGAATCACAGGAATTAGTGGCGTACCAAATGTGGGTAAATAAATAAATAAAAAGTAATAAGGTTTTATAAACAAAGATCACTAACACAATGCTATACAAATAACTGATTTCTAAATGAAATGCTGTGCTTTTATTCACAGGGCGCCACTTTTAATTCAAAGGGAGAGATTAAGACTCACAAATACTCTGCTAAATTTCTATATAAGACAATGAGGGATGGTGGGAAAGGTGGGGAGGGGTAAAGCCAGATGAAAACTCTACTCTGCTAACCTTTAAATAAAGAGAGGTATTTGCCTCCTAATTAAAAATCTGCAGATCATCCCATCTCACCTAGTGTCCTCCTGTTGGAGAATTTGTTTGACTGCCTGAGCCAAAGTGAAGGTTTTGCCCGTCCCATAAGGACCGATAATAAGGACTGGAGGCAGGTGAATTGACAGTGGTGTTGTGATGGCCAGAACAGCCTCCTTCTGCTTTGCATTGAGCCTAGGATCCAACTGCTCATCCCACTGCCTGCACAATAGAAAGCAGGATATAATCAAAGACACATCGGAAACAAAGCTTGTATTAATAAATTCTTACACTGTTTTTATAATCTCAAAACTAATAGGATAAAAATATCCACTTCTTTAAAAAAAATTTAAAATTAAAACTGTTTAACATTTGGTCATATCATCTGATTGATTAACTAGGAGCATGGCTGACTCAGGAATTCTGGAAGTTGAAGTCCACAAGTCATAAAAGGCCCATAGTTCCCCACCCCTGCTCTAGAGGTTCTGTTGAAACTTTCAGATCGGACTGAACCAAAATCCAGGACACTTTGTTTCATATGAAACAAAATCTGGATGGGTTGAGTAGGTCAAGGCTATTGTGCTTTGTCCCCTCTCTTCTTTCTTTCAGTTTTCCCAGTGGGACATATTCCACTAACCTGCCTGTTCCAAATCTTAGCACCTCCTCTTCCTTCTTTCATCTCTCATCAATGTCTGATATACCATTGGTCCATCTGCCCTCAATCTTCCCTGCAACTTCCCCCTCCTCTCAGTTATTGCCATTGATGTCCCAGCGCAGCATGTCTCACTAGTCAGTGGGCCATCCTGCCTACCTTTGATTTCCCAGCATCTTTTCTCCTTCCGTCCCTTCAGACACCCATCCCAGCATCTCCCACCACTTCACTTGCCATGGATATGACACTCCTTCTTTTCACTGCCTTACCATCTCAGCAGATAACATCCTTGGCATTTTGCCCGCTCTTCCCACACCTCTTCTGCTTGGAACAAAATAGCCCTCTTTCATTCTGTCCAAAGGCCTAAAACACTCCAACTTGGTTTGAAACAGGCCTTGTGACCTTCTTCCCATTGCTTTCATAATCAAAACTAAGTTTTAAAAAATCTAATAAACTTTCCACTGTGATTACATCACCATAATACTTGTTCAGTTTATTTAACATCACAGAATATTGTTTTTGGTTAATTAATACAAGTGACATTAACAAAACAGAAATGAACCATATAGTTTGAAGTTTATTGGTATTTGTATGCCGCCCACTCCCAGGGGACTCTGGGCGGCTTACAGACAACAAGGGAATTAAAAATTAAAAATAGAGACATAATCATTTTAAAATTACACAACCTACATACACATAAAATGGGGCTGGATGCTGATCAACACCCCCAGGCCTGCC